AAGGGATTTTCTCCCATGAAAACCCATCCATCTCCCCCAGGCTGTCTGCCTGCAACCCTGCCACCACACTGCCGCACGCTCGCTGCTTTGGAGCTGAGCAGACAAGTCCAGCAGGATCTCATCCTTGCTGGTGGTGCACGATATCCATGTATTTCCCTGGTGGCCACTCGCATCCCAGATGCTCTTACAGCTTTTCTTGCAGAAAAAAAAAAAAAAAAAAAAAAAGGAACAGCTTGTGCACGGACCCTGCACCTGTGCCCGTGTCCATCCCTGGCCAAAACAGCCTGCACAGTGAGCTCTGCCCATGTGGCACTTAATGATGAGGAGGATGCTGGTGTTTAACTCGTGCGCTCGTTAGTATTCAACCGTAGGGTCAAATGAATCATTTTTTCTAAGTAGTGGTTGTTATAATTATTATTCTTCACCTTGTCTGCCAGGGAGTGTATAAAAATTACAGTTACAATTCTGCACCGTAATTGATGTGATTTTGTCCCTGGTCACTCAGTATGCATCATATCTCTTGTTTTATACTTTTTTGCAAAAAAAAAAAAAAAAAAAAAAAGGAAGGAGCTTTTACTTTTTTAGCATCCCTGCAGATGTTCAGAAGCCTGCAGGGCTTCTCAGGGAGAACAGGTTTCACATGGCTTCAAGATCACAGTACTCCACAGAAATAAATGATGACTGTTTTTTCCCCAGGCACCTGTATCACTGCATGCTGCTACAATAAGCATATGAAGTGATGACAAGGGAAAATGCAGTTATTAAGGATAGCTCTATATGGTAAGCCATGTCCCTTCCAGGTCCTCACACACACCAGCTGTCTCTGCCTGGCCTTTTGTACCCAGGACTCTCTGGACTTTGAGCACATGTCATCTCAGCTAATTTTAGCTGCCAAAATGTTGGCACCCCAATATCTGTCTCATCTCCCTCTATCAACAGCATCTCCCAAGGGATTTAGTTCATCCCAATTTGGGTTTTTAGCCCTACTGCAAGGGACAAACCTCCAGAGAGTTTCTCTAGGTGATCTGTTCAAGATCAATGATCAACTTTCAACTGAACGCCAGATGAGTCAGTCCCACTTTCTGCACCCATAACAATAAAAGATGAACCTTGGTTTGCATCAGCCTTACTATTTTTCAGGAGAGCAGAATATATTTCTGGCAAAATGCTCCCCCCGCCCCCTTCTAAAGACATCATTCAGGTGGAAATGAATTAGACATATGGAAAAGACAGTCTTCTTGCTACAAGATGTCTCCAAGACAATCTGGTCCCCAAAGTAAAGAGATCCAGGGGTCATTCTAGAGAAACACTTTGCTAAAAAAAGACTTCCCCGTGGACTCAGCCAAACTCAAAGAAATGAAAGAACCCCAAAAATCTTTTGTATGAGTTGCAAAGAACATTCAGTTGCACTCAATTTACCTTGAAAAATTTTAAATATTGGATCAAATCCTATGGGAATGTATAGGTGAGTGGCATTAAAACTTTAGAATAACTGCATTTCCTTAAGGGGCTGTAGCTCACATGTAGCTTACTGTAACTGACATCCCAGTATAGACCCAATACAGATTGAGACCATGAAGCAGCAAGAGAAAGATGGTGGGAAAAACTAACATGATGTTGGGCGTGCAAAATAAGGCTGTTAGATGGTTATTGTGGCAGTATAACACTTAAAAAAACCCAAAAAAAACCAAACAAGAAATACTTTTCTCTTTCACAGAAATATTTTTGTTCTGAAACTTTTTAGTGTCAAAAAAAAAAGTTAGAAAATTCCAAATGCAAAATTGTGCAACGAGATCTGAGAATAAATATTGATAATCTGAAACATTTCCATCAAAAGATGCATTTTGAACATTTTGTTTTGATACCACTTTGTTCTCCTCGCCTTTTTTTTTTTTTAACTATAGATTATCAACTGCATGAAAACAAGAACCGGTTTCACTCTGGAATGTAGAAATGGGATGTTTGGAGAATTTCAAAACTCATTAAAGCATTTTTTTCAAATGTTGTACAATGATCTAGGGAGGTATTCTGATCTACACCAGATGGCCTGAGCTCCACCATAGCTAGGTTTATGAAACAGGAAGCAGTATATTTGCCAGACCCAGCCCTTGTGCACAAATAGCTTCGTTTTTGACAAAAGCATTTTTGATGAAAAACATGTAATTGAAAAATTCCCAGGAAAATGTTTCCTAGGAAAATGTTTCATCTCCCCTGGCTAAAAGTTTTGGGAAAATAATGTGCCCCGGACCCAAACCATGCATCTACCAGTGCTTTCCCTAGTCCAGTTTGTTATACAGTAGATAATGGAATATTCTCTACAAAGATAAAGAGGTGTTATCATGGGAGTACTGGATTTAATTATTTCTTAGGAACTCAATACATATTCTTTAGCACTTAAAAAAAACCATAAGATTCCATAATTGCAAATTGTGCTGGATGGAAAAATAAGAATTTGTGTGAATGAGTTGGGGAAAAAAAAAAGCAGAAGTGAATAGATTTCAAGTCCCATATGGATGCAAATGTGGTTGACAATTTTGAAACTGTGGTGACTGCAAAGATGCATGGTTGGTTTTTGAGTGGTACTAACTTAGAGTTTGGTGGTCTTTTTTAAAATTACTATTCATGTCTCTACTGGAATTAGTTGCCCTTCATACCACAATGTCATATCCCAGCTGGGTATTACCACAATGTCATGGCATCCTGGCCGAAGGTATCTGTGCCCTCTAAAAGAAGTTATTGCGAGTGCCCCCTCCTCCTTTTACAGTGCAGGAATGTTAAGTACAGACGTGTTTGCAGAGAGCTTCATCCCACCATGTACCACTTGCTCAAGGTCATAGTGCAAGTCCTTCTCAAAGCATGGCACTGACTCTAGTGTCATTACTCTAAAAACTAGTCCCAAATCACATTCCTTTAATCTGAATTTTTCTTGTTATTGTCAAAAATGATTGTTGCTTTTTTTTTTTTCCATGAGTATTTAAACTGAAAGATTCACAAGGTCTTTTTGCTTCAAGGCAAGACAAACCCATTTCAGTGTTTCTTTTGTTAGAAATCCCCAGCTGCAAGAGTCAGTCTCATACGCAAGAAGCAAACGGTTTCAGCAGTTTGGGATTTATGAGCCACCCCTGAGACCTGCTGCAGTGCACTCAGGAGACGTGCTGAAGAGACAGAGCAACATATTCCCTTTCTCACATCGTTTCTGAGAGGGAAACTTTACTTTTTTAGCTAACAAGAGAGGGTCCTAGAGACATTCATCCCTCTCCTGAGCTATGAGGAGCTGGTCCCATGGATGGCTGTGGAGCTCTGTCTGTTTTCCTCTTTGGCATTATCTGGTCTTGTCTCGTGTCCTCTGGCTCACTAGAAATACAGGAGATCACCAGGAATCCCCTGCTGGTTGCCCATTTTCCTGTGGTTTTCTTGTGGAAAACAGGAAAGAATCTGGCTGCTGTAAATTAATCAACAAAATAATACTGATTTACACCCAGTCATTGCCTGGCCCAAAGCCCCATGAGAAAGAAACCTGTGAGATGCTGCAAAGCTCCTCTGCTTTTCCCCAAGGGCAATGCCTTTTCCCAGAGAACAATTCCCAAAGGACAAGGCCTTGGAAAGGAATCCTGCTGTCTCTAACAATGTCTATCCTTCCCCTGGTATTTACTGTGCAAACAATATGGGCAAGCTGTTCCTAAAGATGTGTGCAGGGGTCTCTGACGCTGCCCATGAATGTGTGTCGTGCAGAAGGAGCAAAGGGGAACTAGTCATTTTTAGATCTTTATTCATTTATTACGCTTTTATAAGTCAAGAGGTCACTGTTTGATAGTCCATTTCATGGTCGTTTCCACTGGAATATATTATTTCTTTCTCCTCCTCATTCTCTGTGAGAAATTTCTTTTGAAATAAGAGAGTCACTCTTAGATATCTCCTGAAGGGTCAATTCCCATGGAAAAAAAAGTGTTTGAAAGGGAAACAGATCTTCAGTGTCATTTCACTGGAATCACATACTTCATAGTTTTAAAATCTCCAGTGTTTCCTAGACATTGGTAGTTCCCTGTCAATGGGGTGGTTGACCAAAAGGGCAACATGATGCCAGTTAGGCAGCTCAGGATCAGTGACACCAAAATTTCCCCAAACTTGGCCTTGGAAACCTAATCTTGCCCTTAAATATTTGAGCAAGACTTCAGCAAACCCTGCTGAGATCAGCAGTGACTCTTTCCAGCAGAGACTTATTTAAAGGAGGAGTAGGAGAAGGCTCATGCCCTTTGGGGGGAATTCTTGGGGCAGAATCTGAATAGCAGGTCATTCAAGAAATCTGGATTTTTGCCCAAGTTTCTCCTTGTGTTCCAAAACACACACACAAGCAGACAATTCCTTTTCCATCCAGTGGGCTTTTCTGGAAAACAGCAGAATATGTCACTGGCTCACACTTTAAGGAAGTCCCAGGCTGGCCACGTCTACTAGAGTGATACGTTACGTGCAGAGACAAATAAATTCAACCCATTCTCCAAGCTCACTCCAAACCTACCATGTGGCCTTGGCCATTGGTTAGTCAGTGGTCAAGCCCTGAGAATAGTTGAGCCTTCCTGGCATCTACCTGCAATATTTGCCTGCAGAGGACCAATAAGTTTCCCAATGAGGTCAGTAAAGCTTTCACGTTGAGCCTTCCTGGCATCTACCTGCAATATTGCCTGCAGAGGAGCAATACGTTTCCCACTGAGGTCAGTAAAGCTTTCACACAATGAAATTTGCTACTTTAGAAATAAGACAAATTGGTCTGAACATCCCCAGAAAAAAAAATGGTTCAGCTTTTATCTTCTCTGTTTAGCAGAGCCCTCAGCGACTCCTACTCTTCCTGTCACAATTGCCTTCACTGCTCACTTTCTGCTCAAAATCAAGAGCTACTTTTGGAGAACATCATCTTGCAGCATTGAATACGTCACCAGAACCACCACCACCAACCCAAGCCCCATCAACTTGCTTCCTCCCATGACAGGTCAAAAGATACGTACTTTGACAGAAGCTGGGTTAAATTCAACTTCTTTTTTGGGTTCTGGTTCTGCTGGTTTGGGTGCTGGTTTGGGTTCTTCCTTCTTTGGTTCAGCCTTCTTAGGTTCAGGCTTCTTTGGAGCCATGTTGGTTTGCCGATGGGCTGTTTTAGAAAGGCAGAGAAGGAGACAGACAGACAGAAAGGAAAGAGGTGGCTGCTGCAGAATAAATCACCAGCACACACAGGTCTTTATCCCTGTCCAGTCTCTTAAAGTCACACATTGTGTCACTCTCAGACCTGTCACATGCCAGAGCTTACAATAGGGCCACTGCTATAAAAGGACAAGACATTTACCCGGCTATTTTAGAGCCATCCTATACGGCATTGTTATGAATTAGCACTTAAATGGAAAGAGAGTTTGGGGATTTTAGGGCTGAGGCTGGCGCGGGGTCAAACATTTTTGGTGTTCCTGTGGATGGTGTATCTCTCCAGGGGGAAGGTTGGGTTACAACCCAGGTCCCATCGATGGGTTTTATCCTCCCCAGGGCCCTCCTGACACTTGACCTTCCCTGCTCACTTGCTGCAGAGCCTCTCTCTTCCAGGCTGCATGGCACCCCTGGCCTTTATTGTGCCACAGTTCATTAAAAGACAAGCAGAGGTTTATATTTAGACATGAGGATGGGAGGTTGACAATCTGTATGTCAGCTGGAGCAGGGGAGAATTTATTCCCCATATCACACACTGGTCTTCTCTTGGGACAATGCAAAGCACCAGTATTGCTTATAGAAGAAAGCATCTAACAAACGAGCAGGGAAACACACACACACACACAGAGGCAAGGATAGCACTGGGTATCTGTAAGTACGTTCTCATGGCTGAGATTTTCCAGACCATTTTAGGGACTTGAATGCCAAATTCCTATTAAAAGAGCTAAGATAAGGGTATCCTTTTGAAGCCTTTCTAGTCCTAACTTCACTTTGATTTAAGTAACCCCCCTTCAAAGCAAAACCGAGTTAACAACTTTCAGATCTGTATTTGCTTATGTCATTTTTCAAAATCGGGGGGGGGCACTCTCTGAGTCACAATCACTTCCCCAGTGCCTAGATTTTTTTTTTTTTCCCAAAAAACCCCATCATTCCCTGTAACAAGACAACCACCCACCAAATCACAATGTATTTGAAAAGTGTATTTATGCTGGCATTTCAAATAAATGTCAGTTGAATCATAAATCTCGTTTTTCTTACTTATCCTGATAATCTATCATTCAAACCCCTTTAAGACCTATTTTTCCCTCCAGTGCCTGCCTCTCTCTGCTCTTCGGTTCTCTGGGTGGCTTTCCTAGAAGAGCACTCATGCTTTATCCTGCCCAGCTGCTCCCAGGTGGTGGCACATCCCTTGCTGGGAGGACACAAGCAGCTTTGAATTCAACACAGAAGGTTGGCCACCCCTGTTTAAACTTCTGTCTCCACCATGGCTTCAGCAGGTGAAAACAGTTGGGAATCCTGGAGAGACTGGAGGAGATGGAGAAGGGCTGAGCTTTGTGTCTACACACCATAATGTGCAGTTCCAGGTCGTACCTGAATGGACCCTGCTTTCTGATTCCAGGTTTGAGGCAATGTCACAATATTTATTGTGGTAATAAATACATCACTGCAATAATGTGATTATCCCCAAAATGGTAATTTGTGGGTTTTGGGTAATGGGAAGTAAATCTCATTCCTCTAAACAAAGAGGGCACTTTGGGAGCTTTGTTTATGAGAGGAGCCCTGAGCTGCTCCTGATCAGACAGGCAAGGGATTTTGGTGTTTTGGTGTTTCAGGGACAGCCTGGAGAATTGCATTTTACCTGCCAGTCCCATACATGTCTCAGATACTGTAGGGTTTCAAAAATGGCTCTAGAAACATTTGTGTAGGCAAATTAATTCCATCTCCTGTAAATTACTAAACTAAGGAAGCCCACACTGTTCTGGACAAGTCATTATAGGCAGAGGTATCTCAAACAGCACCCGATACTTGCATTTAAGCAACTGAGTGAAGCCATAGATACCTACAGCTGAAATAGATGCATCACCCTCACACTGAATGTATGGACTAGATCTCTGTTGACTGTGATGGGAGCTATGCTCACCATGTTACATAGTTCATATAAAGATATTTACATCATATTTACCTAAATAAAGTGAGATGAACCCTACCTGGGCTGAATTCCATCTTCTGGGATTTCCTTCATATTACAAAGCCCCAGAATAGAGTATTTTTCTGCAAGTTTCTATTTCTCATTTGCCCATTTTCTGTCCAGGGCAAACAAGAATTAAATGTGGGAGGTATCTGGTGTACCCTGCTGATCAGAAGAAACAAACTTTGCAAGCTGTAAATACTTCTGCAGAAGAAATACCTGAAATCATACATTCTTTTCATGCTCTGTAAAGAGTTTTGCTGCATTGATTTCTGCATTGGAATGAGTCATGGCTAGAGGATTGTAAGAGCTTTCTACAGATCCAAAGAAATACCAAGGAGTAATTTCACCATGTTCCCCCACTACAGATTTCTCGATTGACATCGCGGGGACCAGCACAGACCAAGAAAATGCTGGGTTCTGCTAATTCAAAGCAGCAAAACTGCAGTGCAAATTATTGTGCACTCTGAGAGCAGCCGTAACCAAAAGGAGAGCATCTGAGCAGGCACCAGCCTAAGCACAGAAGTATGTTCTACACAACGTTTGAAAAAGCCACCAGGTCTTATTCCTGAACTGAGAACAGCACTGGAAAATACCAGGCAATTAAGATGCCAGCAGCAGCTCAACAGCAGCTTGGGATCTTGTCACCTCCACCTCTTCGAGATAAGAAGAGATCATAATAGCAAGGAGAGTCATATTTCACTTTTTCTTCCGAATTCCACGAATCAGCCATGCTTGTGGGGTGTGGTGGTGGATTCCCCTCAGCTTTTCTCTAATAAAAAGGTGTTAGAGAAATAATAGCAAAGACAACCCAGAAAGGTGGCTGAAAACTCACCTCGGTCTGATTCTCAGCCAAAATTCAGGAGTCGTAGTGTCATACAAATGCATTTTTTTGAATATATTCATGATAAAGAATATTCATGGTACAGTTAGTTTGACACAATTCACAGAAAAGATCCTTTGCACTTCTGTCAAAATCAAAATGGTTGCAGCATCCTGCAGTTCTGCTTGAAGGGGAAGCTTCTGGCGATGCCAAAAAATCCCAGTTTTGGATTTTTTGGATTTTCTTTGGTTTCCTACCTGTCTGCTCTTCTTCTAGACCCATGGCACGTCCTCTCCTGACTTCTGTTTAGTTTATTTGTGTAGACCTGTCAGTGACCAAAATACCCACACAGATCAGCCCTTTCTCACAGCTTGAGATGGTTCTTCACTTTGCTTTTTCAACACAAGACAGCGTGGATGGCAGGCGAGAGCCCCATCTATGTGATTACTGCATAGATGTATGCTTATCTTTATTTAAATATACAATGTCAAGGCAAAACAGGGAGGTACATTAAGAGTTTTAAGTACCTGCAGGGCTGGATAACCACTGCTAGGTGGATGTCTTGGATCAATTCCATGGATTAAAGATACTCCTGTAAATCCTTCTGCAAACAGCCAAATCAATACAGCTAATCTTGCCCTAAATCCCCCATTCAGCTCTTCCATGAGGATCCCTAGAGCCCCAGCAGCTGCGAAAAAAAACACAACCCTGACCAAAAATCCCTCTTCCTATTAATAGGTTTTGAAGGGCAAGAGGTGGGGGATTGTGCTCTTCACTTTTTTCAGTCAGGCTCACAGCAGATGTTTGCAGCAGATCTCAGTGCCAAAAAGCTATTCCAGAGTCACCCTAGAGTCCTACATGAGAGGCTGGGCTAGCTGTGAATTTTCTAAAATTCTCTTGATCATCAGGGTATGATAAGTTTCTCTTAAGAGATGGACCAGGATCAACTTCAAAGAGAACAGAGCTCATCAAGACATTTCCCACAGAAAAAAAAACCGACTGGATTTAAGAACCACAGGATCAACTTCAAAGAGAACAGAGCTCATCAAGACATTTCCCACAGAAAAAAACCCCACTGGATTTAAGAACCAAAAAAACAGAATACAAGTGAAAATCAAATATTCTGGCCCAAATCTTAATCATTTAAATTTGGGAGTATTGCCACAGTGTCTTATCTTTCTCTGACCCTTAATAAGTCTGTCTGTCTACTTTTACTGGAATCATAAAACAGCCTAGGATGGAAGGGACCTCAAAAGATCAGACCAAGTAGAGGAGATTGTATAAAGAATGTGAACTGCCTCTTGCCGAGGAAAATGAAGAGCTGAGAAAAGTTAACAATTTTTATGAAATATTGCTGTGGGATAATTTGAATTGAACCATTTAGGGCCAAAACGTATCAGTTTTCAGATATTTGACTTCTTAACAGAAAAACATCCCCCACCCCCCGAGTAAGTTGGGGTTTTGGTTGTTTTTTTCTTTCTTTTAAAAATAAAAATAAAATTAATCTTTGAATTTAAACTTCAATTCTGTCTTCAAAAACAACCATTGATGGAAACTCTCCAGACATCTTTAAATGAGAGGTTGAGAGCACGTCAAAGATGTTCTCTCCCCAACCAAAAGTGGTTGTGCAACTTTTCCCAATAAGGAATGCTGTCCTTAGAGTTGTAAGATGGCCACAGCTTGAGTGTCTTCCCCAGAGAACAGAGGAAAAGTGTTTTTAGAAGATTTGCAACCAGAAGACAATTTATTTTTCTGCTTCTTCAGTCCCCAGCACAGCAGATGTCTTGTCAGCTGTTGGACAAAGAAAGAAAGCTCCAAACCGCATCTGCTCATATGCTACTCAACCTCTGTACTTTAATATAACCAAGTTATAAACAGAAAATCAAATATTTTCAAATGGCAATTGCATTTCAAAGATAGTTAATATAAAAAAAAAAAAAAGGGGGAAAAAAAAAGCAGCAAACCCAGAAGGAGAACTTCCAAGAAATTTCCAATTCTCTCCCTATTTTTTGCCAACTGTAGAGCCTGTCAGTTTTTCCATCCATGTTTTAACACCTGAGTGGTTGAAACAAGAAAAAAATATACTGGAAGGAAGAACAGAAGGGGTTGTATCCGCAGGGAGAGAGTGGCAGGCCAACTGAGAGGTGTTTATCTGATGGGAAGCTGCTGTGAGCAAAGGTGGAAGAGGACAGAAATAAAGGTAAAAATGAGAATTTTCTCTGAGATTATTGTTGCTGTTCCCAATTTCCATAGGGTGA